AATGTCAGAAGTCATGGACCACAGCTCCAAACCAATAGCATTAACTGGCATCATCCTGAAAGGATACATATCTTCAAAGAAACCTTGACTTGGTATTTTCCTGGGATTCCAGATTCCCTAGTAGTTAGGTAAAAATATGGAACACATCACAAATTTGTGTGTCACCCTTGTGCAGGGGCCATGCTAATCTTCTCTGTATCGTTCCACTCTTTGTATATATGCTGCCGAAATGAGCACCTGGTGAGTTTTGGATAATGTCACAAGACATGATCTTTGAGTAAGGTTCGAAATTCAAATGAAAAATCTCAGAGAAAATTTTGAACAATTAAAAACAAAGTATCTTTATTAGCAGATTTTGCAAAGAACATATTCAAATGAATTCGACTTCCTAAATGAGATAGAGAAAAGGGAGGGGGAAACAGCAAAGTGACAACTGGTTTGCTTCTTGCTTCACTGGTAGAAAACAGCAATTTCTCCTAAGACCACCACATCTGCAAGGGTCACTGCATCACCAGCAGACAGCAGAGTCAGGTTCCATGACTCAAGAGTCACAAGATCAGTTTCTTTACACCAGGAAGTCAGCAACTCAAAGGATTAAGGATCAAGGCTCTGTTTGTTTGGAGGATTAGTGCTTAGCCAAACTCTGATTTGTCCTGGTTTATAAACACAAGGGGTTGGAGTTTTTTTCTGAATTGAATGACATAAGCACTTAATTAAAATGACAGCACATCAAGTGTCAAGCTTTCATTTTCAGTTGATGAAGGTGAAGTTGTCTTGGGTGGTAGGATACAGACAAATCTAAGATATTTAATTGAATTAGTGAAAAAAAGGAAACAAAGCTCTGTAAATAAAATAGCAAGACAGGCTGAAGGGAGGGGAACAGATGGGGGAAGAGGAACAAAGATATGCACAGGTACAAATTCCCCATGATGACTATATATATATATATATATATATATATATATATATATATATATATGAAAGCAGTAGTGCTTGGCACTTGGTAGGCACGCACATATGTGGTGATGCATAAATGAAAAAAAAAAGTGAAGCAAGCACAGGTGAAGTGTTAAAAGAAAGACAATGACAGAGGAGACCATGGATCTGAGGAGAGAGCTGGTGGGAAGAATCCTTGGACCAAGTTTGCCACAGTCAGTGAAACTGGAGATGTGGATAATTAAAACTCATTAGTAATATGTTTTGTGCTGGAATTTAATCCTCAAATTTCAGCAAAGATAAAAACTGTCTGGGTGTGCTCAGAAAGTGGACCATGCGCTGCATGTGCAAAGAGAACTGCATTCCTCCAAATATGGGAATCAAGACACACATGAAACTCAGGCTTCATCAGGAGGAAGAAGTCATGTGAAACAAGGGTCATCAGAGCAGATGCACTGAACTGATGCTGACAAGTACTTGGATTTTTCCATGAGGAAAGAAGAGTCAAGTCTGTTCATTGCATATGAAAAATAAAGACAGTCAGCCTCTGTATTTCAGGTTCTGCATCTGGTGAGTCAATCAACAATCAAGAAAAATACTCAAAAATTTGCATTTCTACTGAACATGTACAAGATTTTTCCTTGCCATTATTTTTTTAAACAATACAGTATAATTATTTCTATGGCACCTGTATGACATTGCATGTGGTATTGTAAGTATTGTAGAGACAATTTAAAGAATATGGGAGGATTGTGTATGTTATGTGCAAATACTACATCCTTTTCCATAAAGGTCCTTAGCATTTGCAGAATCTGTCATCTCTAGATTTGGGTGTCCCCTGGGGATCATGGAACCAACTCC